ACACACACACACACACACACACACACACACACATGCAGCAGCTGCTGGGGAGGAGGCAGTCTCTCCCTGCTTCACATCCCCACATGCATGCAACAGCTGGAGGGAGGAAAAGCACCCCCTTCTCCCCCCCACACAACCATGCATGCAGACGTGCTGAGTACATGAGGGCTCAAGGGCCCTGGCCCCCCTCAGGAAGAGGGTTGTCACCTGAAATGTGTAAAACTGTCCACGTGTCCATCATCTTAGCACCCTCCTCCCCCCTGCAAAAATAAAAGTTGGTACCTATGCATGCATCAGCTGCTCAGGGCTGCCCACATCCCCTCACATAGGCCCAGGCAATAACTGCTGGGTAGCTGTGCACATTTCCCCACGCACACACTCGTGCAACCGCTGCTTGGTAGCTACAGCCCTCCCCCCCACGTGCATGTGCACACATACACACTCACAACAGCTGCTGGATAATTAACACATTCCCCCTGTACTCACATACACATGTCATAGTGCTGGGTAACTCCCTCAACTCTGTACACACACTTATACAAGAGCTACAGGGAACCTACCCACCTCATTCACCCAGGCATACACACATAACTATGGTATGGAAACAATCCCTGCCTCCAGTCCCTTCCCTATACACAGGCACATGTCCATACACTGACATTTGCAACAACCAAAGGGAAGATGTGTCAGTTCACACTTGCCACCGACTGTCTCACTCAGACACACAGACACGTAACAGCTACCAAGAAACTTATGAGCAGAGGGCTGTAAAGGACCTCCTGGGTCATCAAATCCAGTCTCCTGATATTGCAGGCAACCACCTCATATAAATCTGTTCACAAATTGGTCAACCTCCATCTTATCACCAGTTGGGCTGTTTGCCTCCCACTGCACCTGGCAGGAGGCTGTTCCAGTACCCCACTGCTCTGATGGTTAGAGACCACCTCATTTCTAGGGCCTCTCTCAGAGCCTGTGTTATCCATATTTGTTCTCAAGCCAATTTCTCATGTCCTTCACACAAACACGTGCATCAGCTGCAACAACTGAATGAAGAAGGCCCAAATGCCTCACATACAACTGGAAAGGAACTATGCACATCTCCTCCTCCCAATACCCACACCCACACAAACAACAGCTGGAGTGAAACCATCACCTAATCCCAAATATAAACACACATGCAACAGCTTCTGGGAAATAACCCATCCTTCTCTGTGTGTCTCTCTCTCTTTTTCTCTGTTTCATGGACACACGCACACAAATACATGCAACAGCTGGAGGCAAACTACTAACTTCCATCACACACAAGTGCAGCAGCTGTAGAGCAACTATGATGTCTCGCAAACATACAAGAGACACGTGTATGGAACAGCTGTATTATTTATTAATAATGCGACACTATGTTTTAAAAGATTTGATCATTTGTATTGTAGTATTGTTGGTATCCCAGTCAGTGGACCAGGAACCCAGGTGCTGTATAGATCCAAAGATCAGCCCTGCCTGTCAAACACACATGCATTCATAAGCATACAAAAGACCTATAGAGAAACTACCATGTTCTTTAACCACACTCAGTCCAAAACGGAAATGAACTACAAATACAAAACAGGCAGGGGCATGACTGCCTACATCCCTGTCATCTGCACACAGTATTTGCAGGAAAACTGCCACATGTTCCACAACTACTGTATATGCACAGGCCAAACACGCTAGCTATAAAGCTAGTCACACAACGAAGAGCAACAGGCATAAAGAAGTGAGCCAGCCATCTCCCTCACAAACAAGTCACAAAGTGGCAGAGAAAGTAGTTCCTCTCACTCTTACACACACACGCACACACACACACACCTGTATAATAACAACAGAAAATTATTATATCTCCAGGACAAAAAACAACACAAGTGCATCCTTCCTAGGAAAAAAAACAACCCATTTTCCAAGGACATGCATGTATATTAGCCTCATAGTTTTGTATCATATACACAACTACTTTGGGGAACTGCTCTATAGCCTCCCCTAAACAGTCCGAGTACACCAGCTGCAGGAAACTGGCCCACAATACACACACATTTTAGAACCAGAGACATTAGGAGCAGACTAGACATAACCAGTCCCTTCTTGGGCCATTGCTTGGGTCAATATGGAACTGTTGCCTGCAATATATTCTCTGTTCTCTTCCAGTATATTCTCCCTGACTTTGCTCAGGTCATTTGTAAATGTCCCAACCAATGAGTTTTCTACCATTTGCCACGGCTGAGTAGACAAAAGAATACAACTGGGTGGGAAATGTTTTTCTGTCCTGCAGAAGAAGTTGAGATTTCAAAACATTTTCTGTTTCACCTGGGACAAACTCGAGGTCTTTCAAAGTGAAAAAAAGAGATGGGGAAAGAGAAAGCCCCCTAGAATAGCCAATAGTCAGTCTGATGATTTGACTACTCATGTGGGAGACTAAGATTCAGCCTCCAATTGCGCCTGACTCAAACCCAGGGTTTGGACCTCTGTCCCCCTTTGAGTACCCTGACTGATAGGCTGTTGGCTATTCTAGCCAAAGAATACATTTGTAGCCAAAGGAATATTTTACATGTTGTTTAAAACATGATCCAACAGGAGAAACAGACATCCACCCACCCCTCACCAAGAGCCAAGGGCTCAGGGGCACTCACCTGGGGTGTGGGAGACTAAAACCCAAACCCAGATCTGACTCGGACAAAACAGGACTTGAACCCCGGTCTTTCACATCCCAGGCCACTACCTCCAACCACATGGCTCAATGGAGGGGTAGAAAGGTGGCTCTCTCATTTTTCCAGAAATTCCACCCTTGGTGAAACTGGTCTCTACATTTCTGAGAAAAGTTTTGGTTTCAGCTAATCATTTTCTGACAGAAAGCTGCTTAGTCAGAAAATCCCCAACCGGTCTGCTACAGAAGTTAAGAGTATTTTCCCCATCTTCAGCTATAGAGACATGCCTTCCAGCCCAATGACCAAGATCTTTTTTTTCTCCCCAGTGGAGCTTTCCCCTTCTAGGCAGGCCTGAGCCCTCTACTTTGCAACTGTCTGCCTCAGAGAAGATGAGTAAGAAGACAAGGGGTAGATTTTGGGCCTCATACTGTAGCTCTGGAGATGGGGGGTGAAAAAGTGCAAAGGAATACGTTCAGTGCAGTGTTAGCATAACTAATCCAGGACCCTATGCTGCTCACCAATACAACCTCATGATATGACCCAGGGAGGAGGCAGCACAAGGGAAAATGGGAATAGTTGTACTGACATTGACAGAAGTTGTAACATATGCCAGCAGCTACATCAGCCTCATAGAGAGCTCCGAATCTGGGAGGCATGTTGTGGTATAAGGCCTCTTCCTGTCCCTCTTTCATGGCTGAACCCCACATAATGCTGTTTTGAGGTGTAGGACAGTCATTCTCAAAGGGACATGAAAGGAATGAGTCAAATACACTTTTTGCCCCTCCTCCTGGTCCAGGTAATCCTATAAGGGAGAAGAGGTGCAGGGAATGCAGTCCTGTGCACAGGGGAATCTGCCTCTGGAGCCCAGCAAGCAGTGTGACTGGGAAAGAGAAGCCACAGCTGAGCTCTCTCCCTCTGTCTGTCTGTCTGTGCCTATCCCTCCTCAGGGCTGCAATCTCAGCTCCGGATCTGACTCGGGAAGGAGGGGCCCATGAAGAGGCCAGGCTCAGCCTCTTGCTGCAGTCAGAATCTCTCCGCTGATCTATAATGCGGTGAGCAGTGACAGATTGATTTTACAGCTCCACTCCAAGCCGACCGCTGGCCCTGGGCAGGGGATGAATCAGCTTTCTCTGGGCCTTGGCTTTTAT